ATAAGAAATAGTTAATGTTATATATCTCAATTTGTGTTTATAATCTTAGTGGATAAAGCATACATTCAATTTTCGCTTGAATAGAGTATGAGAGGATCGTAAGTAATAAAACCCTCTCTGCCAGAAACTATATTCTAAATGTTAATGCGTCGACTATTAGAAATATTAACATAATCGAATTCATTCCATATTCCAATCTTAACTTGCGCATTTGCATATTTCGTTCCTAGAAGAAAATCTATTATACCTGTTGAAATTGTGAAGGACTTCGAGTAAAATCATGTTTTCCCAAGTAAACGCTTCATTATCACAACTTGCAATTACTAATTACGCAACAACAATAATAATCATTGTTCCTTTTACCGCCTTTAGTCGTTAGCAAATGTATTTTCCCCGACGTGTTACGACCACTCATTATACTAATTAATAACAGAAGTGCAACAATGGGATTGTGCACCTACGAGTGTATTATAATTATTTTAATTATTCTCGTTCAGTTTCGAACAACTTTCATCACAATTATATAAATAAAATATTATAAAAAAATAATGTAACGATGAAAATGGAAGTGAAAAATGAAAGAAATGGAACCAAATTGAACAACAAATTTAAATATAATGGCATTATTAATTTTAAATTAAATACGTAATGTTCGGTTCACGGGATGCTAGTTATTGGCGTTCGATCGTGGATGCGGTTATTTTATTATTTACACCTGTTACATAATTAAAGCATCGGGTAAAAGTTCCGCATTACGGATAATTCATGTTTATAGTTATAATATAATATTAATAGTCGTAATATCATTTGTCCACCGATTTATAGCCGTTCATAACAATTTTAATCAATATAATTTATAATTTTACCTCCGCCTCGTGAATTTGTAGTAAAACTACAATTGATGCATAATTTATACCATATTATTAAACACTTTAGGTGTTACAGCCAGATGACACCTTTATTTAAAAATTAGCATTTCGTGACGTAAATATTTGTATTATTACCGAAATTGCCAATAAATTTTGAGAACAAATACAGGTATTTCGGTAATTTAAAAATGAAGAAAAACCAAATGAAACTTGAACTTGAATAATGAAATAAATTTAGCTTTGAATATTTAGAAATAACGTATAATTATGTATTAAAAATTATCAGAATTTTACCTGTTTTTTTCTTAAAATATTTACTGTTGATGTGTAATAGAAACTTTTGAAGAAAAATACCATTAGACGTATGCCATACGAATGTACGTTAATGCGAGAATCAATTTCCATGTATGATGTACAGACGTGCCTCTTTGATCGCACATACGTACTCAACGTTCATATCAACGTACACGTTGTATTAATATCAAAAAGAACTGCAAACACCTCTAACTGATGTAGATCAAAACCTTGTAGTTAATTCTGTGAATGCGCCGGGCGTAAAACAAATCTATTTTTATATTTTGTTAAAAAAAAGAATCTAGGAACGTAATGGGATAATAAATGAACAACGTATGGTCTTGACTATCGATTTCTTATTAAATTATTTTTATTAATGTATTTATATCCGTGCATTTCCACTAATATTATATTTTAATTTATTATATTTTAATACGAAAATCATGTTGCTAATGTCATTATTTCAATTTTCAATTGCGTTTGAAATTACAGAGAGCCTAAATTCAATTAACTTTTCCAATGCAACGGTTATATTTATTTCTATATATTTGCAATTATTTGTACTTGGATCGGTACTTTGAAATAGTGGCGCGTCACTCAATTCAATGCTTTTTATTCATTTGGAAATATTGAAATTTCATTACGACCTCCATTATTTACAACTGGCAATATAATGCAATAACGGTTATTGAATTTATAAATAAATAAATATATATATAAAACTTGACTGGTTTTGAATAACGTCATTTATTTATTTCCATTTTCTTTGACCTATTTGTGCTTTAATAAATAATATCACGTGCAAATAAGTCATAAAGATTGTTAACTTAGACCTACTTGAAGTAAATATATATATACACGTAATAAATTCTCTTAAATTGCATTGCTAATTATTTATTGATTTTAAAATAATTAGGATAACATAAAATAATAATATATTAATTGTAATTATAATATAAGCATTATATATATTCAAGATATTTACATAGATCTTATTAAATCTAATATAGTTATTATTTTTGTAGAGTTATTACGAATTATTTAAAATCACTTCTTAATTCATATACAGGTATCCTCCGACTTACGAACTCCCGGACTTACGAACAAAATTCTAAAATCTCTAACTAGTTTCAAGGAGATATAGTGATAAAAGAATTAACTGTCCAAACAAAAATTGACAATTTCTTTAATAAAATACTATATTTTATTAAATAATTTTGATGTCGAGATTGAAAAGTATTTGTAAGTATTTTGTTTATTTTAATTTATTTTTCAAATTTATGCAGTCAGTACAGAATTTAACATATATAAAAGTAAAAATCATGATGAAGTGTGATAAGATAAGTATATTTTTAAAATTCCCCCGACTTATGAACAAATTTTACTTACGAATGGAATTAGTTCGTAAGTCGGGGGATACCTGCATTCTATTTAATTTTACAAGATGTAATCAAGAAAAACGTTTTTATTGCAAACTAAATCTTCCACTGAAGACCATGAACTTCTGCATTCAATAAATTTCTAACATCCTCTTTGGATAATTTATTGTATGTTGTTTTCTTCTTCTAGTACAACTTTGGGTATATTTAGAAACAAACTCAAACATTTAAGCATTTTAGTGATTTCTTTCCAATAACTATCAATGTTACAAATCCTCTAGTTTAATGAAATTGCTTAATATTCGACGCTTAGAATAAGCTTTAAATGATATTCTTATTGAGTTAAACACAATTTTTGCTTAAATTGTAATTGTAAGTTAAATGAGATTTGAAATTGCAGACTTGGTTATATCAAAGGTTAATGTCAGAGGTAACAGGTATAACAGTACCATGACTTTTATCGATATTTTTTAATATTCAAGTTCGTGGTGCTTCATAGGTTAGTGACTTCTCGAGACAGTAGCTTCTTTTAAAAGTACGCGATATTAAGGATAAGCCATGAAGTTTTACTACTAAAGCGGATGAGAAATTGGCTGTAAACTGTCGTTTTGGTATGAAAAATCTCCGATATATATATAGGTAACTCCTAGCAGAAATCAATATAAGAAGTGTGATGCTATTAAATCTGCAATATTGCAGCGCGGGCACTAATCTGGCGAGGTTGTGTAGACTCGAAAATGGAAGGAAGCAATCGTTAAAATATAAAGGGTCTCACTCGATTGGGCGCAGAGTCGTTGGGGCTTGTTTATTATAGTCGACTTTTATTACAGGGATTATTCGGACACGGCAGGCCATTTTCTCAATGTGTCAGTTTGTAAAGGCAAATATTAAAAGCTTTATTATTAGCGTCGCGTAAAGCAAAGACCAATCCCGTTCTTCTTATTTCCACAAAGCCTAAAAGCTCACGTTCATCTAATAAAAACAGAAAAAAAAGAACGACTAGCGAAACAAAAAAAAAATTAGAGAAGAGAAGATCTTCAAGCTAAAGAGAAACCATTTCAAGGGGATTATATTAATTAAATGCAACAACTCTCAATTTTTTTCTCTCTCCTTTCCGCAATTAAAATGAAACCAGGTTACATTAAGTTTTAACAAGAGTCTGTTTGTTGTTATTCTTGCTGCTGCTGATGTTATTGGTTTCGATCAAAACTCAGGATATATACAGTATGTAAAATATAATGCAATTTTGTACGTGAAACTTTAAACCACATCAAAGAAGACCCGTAAATAATTGATCTTTTACAAACAACACTTTCTAAACTAAAATTGCATCGCAATTTATAAATTTTTAATCCCCTTGGTCCTTAAGATGGATAGAGAGATAGGGGAAGAGAGGCAAGCAAAAAAAAATAGCAAGCAGCAGCAAGTGGATAATGATTTTTTCCTTCATATTTTTTTTTATTCTTCTTCGTTTTATTTGAGTTTGAGTTTCAAGGAGGCAATGAAATGCACCGCGGTAGGTATACTAGGACGAAGGACGAGAGGCATGGAAACTTTGTCAGAAATTGAAATTCCTGGGCCTTTGAGAGAGCAACTTTGCGTTTATTCGCGCGCGCATACACACACACCCATGCACATTCGCCGTCTTTAAGATGTGCCAAGGAATTCGAGCAAAAGTGGACGAAAAGGGAGATGAGAGCAGAAGGAAGAGAAAGGGAGAGTTCTTAGTGTGATGATGCGCCAACGCCCGTGGCAATGTTTAACATAAACGGAATGCCGACGACAATGTCAAATGGATGCTGAAGAAAATAAGACGATAAATTGGATTTTGGGTTCGAAACTATTTATGTAATCACCAGTATGTGAAATACTTAAGAATTAAACTTAATTGATGATTTGTGGAATTGCAGTGTTACAAATAATAATTACCGAAATTCCCTATTTTGTAAAATATTTGTACTTAATTCTTACCAATAATTTTATTTATATTTTTGTTTAAACCCTTTGTTAACTGAAAATAGTTAAATGAATAATAATAAATGAATTATACTGATTTAGATTACAAAAACGGATCAATTTATCTTTTTTTTCTTTTCGTTACGACATAAAAAAAATAACCTATATAAAAGTGACAAGTATTACTTGAATGTAGCTTTATACTCACTTAGTGTTTCAAATTGCAAAACAAATCATTTTAGAAATAATTTGTGAGCATAAATAGTTTCTCAGAAATAAACGAGCTAGATAGAAAGACCGTAGACGGTGGAACTTTAGAATTTAGATAGTGCTGAGGTGTGTATATTTTAAGATATTTTACATACTAAACAATGCAAGGAGATTTACATTGTATGCATATTCATGGCATACATTCCAAGTTCCAGCAGAATGTGCTCCACTCGGCTCGTCGCCGCACCGCGAAATTCGAAAATAAATGTTTTATGAATAAACTTTTACTTACACTATAAATACTTCCAAACGCAGAAAACACGCCTGCAACCAAAGATAATACGTATATAATACAAAGAGAAAGCATACAAAACGAATAGAGACGAAAAAAAAATCTCTCTCGTACATAGAGATAAAAGGGCATGGTCACAAGTGTATATGCATGTTGATTCATTTGAAACGGAAAACTGGTGTAGCTCTGCAATTTATATTTTGTGCAAATTTATATTTCCACTGTAACGGATCCATTTTCCTTTGGCAATTTAATATCATCGTGTGTACCAGCGAAATGTAATGCCCAAATGCCATCGATCGCACGCAACGTAACGCGCCGCGCCGCACAGACAACATTAATATGCAACACTGGACAAGGAAAAACCTCGGAAACAAATGGTGGCTTGGCTTTACATCAATCTCAGTCAACTGAATAAAGAGTGGTTGCTTCCTTCCGATCTTAACGTTGTGAATACGAATAAATGTAGTCTTTAAATTAATCCTAGCTTTTTTTAATACTCCTTCATGTTTATACCTCAATTACCAATATCAATGCAAACATAATATAGCGTTTCTGGGTCGTATATTTTTTTAATGAAACTTGAAATGACAGCTGTCATATTGTGTCAAAGCTAGGAACTGATGAAATACTCTTAACAATTAGTTGTACACCTACATAGAATTAAGTTGGGTCTTAAGCTTTTATATAAAAATAATTACTGTTTTTCTTCTAAAAACCGGTCTACATATATTAGCAAGATATTGTCGTATCCCGGTATTCAAATATCTCTGGACACTGGAATATCTCGTAATTATGTCATGGTGGAGTTTTAGTGGAGTTTTTAAGGAATGCTAGAGGTGAAGTTGGACAATAAACACTTTATTATTCACTATAAGATTATTAATAACTTCTATGTCTAGATTCCAGTTGCTAGATTTGTTACTAGGGTTTTTATGAGTCTAACAAGGACTCAGGAGGACTCTCCACTAATCTAAAAGTAACTTGGACTAGCGACTAGCTAGGAATATGGCTTTAACATTGACTTTTTAGGACTCTTCCTGTATTACATAAACATCCTGTTATATAGTAGTGAATTAGCATAGTTGGAGTACAATATTTGGTAATGGAAGATAGCACCTAACTTTCCCTAATAATTAAGTGATGAGGCAGATGTACATATTAGTAGTCATTATCGATTGGCCCTTTTGAATTTGTGCACTACATGGTGATTAACAATAGTCGTTACACAATTATTAGGTATTGGGATCTTCCTAAGTGGTATTTGTTCTAAATATTAATGACTTACATACATAAACATGTATAAAATAATAAGGGCTAACATAATATAAACAATAACGGTTATACATAACAATATGTATCTATGTCTCTATATTCTATTATATCAGAGATGGTCAACTTGTTTATTCTTGACTTATCCACATAAAATTGAAAATAAGTTTTTTCAACATTACTTATATAAATTTTTGTATTGTTGCAAGAGGATGAAGAAGAATAAGAGCAATCTGATAATGATTAGGATACAATGGAAACTAACATTCTCAAAAATCAAAGATATGAAGATTGACATTAATAAATTTTCAATTATATAATTTAATACATTGTTAATATTTCAGAATTATATTGGTAAATTAATATTATTTAATTATTTACAAAGTCATTCTTTCAATATCAATCCTATAAAATTGACTATAGTTTTTTTTACCTAAAATAAATATGTTTGTAGTGTGTACTAAAAAAAAATAATTAATGATGTATGCATGCATTCAAAATAAATGACAGATTCGACAGGGATGTAATCAGGTGTTGTATTTTCAACGAAAAAAAATAAAATATATTCGACTAATAATGTTAAAATAATATCAATTACAATATACAATATTTACGTGTAAAAGGTCCTGTTAATTTGGTTCGTTTTATGTGCATGGAAATGATAACAAAATGGAATATAAATAGTCTATGGTACGCGCGCACACGTAGATTTTATTTATTTTCGCCGCACGAGCGCCAACAGCATAAAAATAAATAAAATTTAAAATTGAATTTATTTTCCAATGCATAGAAATGCAAAATTGCATTAATTTCGTTCATTTGCATGGGCCATCTGCCATCGGCATTACAGCGTAACGGCGATTCCGAATTAATTAATTAATATAGATAAAAGTGTAACGAAAATAACAACTTTTCAAGATGAAACTTTTCCACTATACATATTTAATGTAAATATTGTAAAGCTCTCAATGTGATAGTTATAAACAATCGCTAACAACATTTTCGTTTCTCCGCTCATAAATTTTCAGTACGAAAGTTTTCAATTACTTTGCATGTTCCAACGAAACCTTAACTATATTGTGTTTGTACATAATTAACGCTCGGTACGTCAATTGAAAAGTGACATTGTAATATGATGAAAGTGTCGCATGATTGATTGCGGTTTTTAATTGAAATATCAGTTAAAAGTTATTTGCAGACCCATAAGCTAATACAAACCTGAAATATTATATAAACAACTCAGCTTTTTTTTCAAACACAGTAAAATACTTTAGATAACGAAACTTTGATTTATAATTTCAAGAATTTAACAGAAACAAATTAAGACGAAATTAAATAAAATCAATTAAAAGGTTTCGAAAATATGGTCAAAGAGAATATTACTAATTTATTGAATGCAGAAGATGATAGTTTTTTTTGTTGAAGATTTAGAAAACCTTGTAGAAACAAACACACAAAATAATAATTTAATTTGTTGTTGTTTGTTAAAGTAAAATTATGGAATTGATACTGTTTGATGATAGCAAAAATACTAATAATATTTATATAGCTGACGTGTGAAAGATCAATTGTACGTGTTTGGTGTATAGGAGAGGCTGCAGTGTTTTCTGTACGGTTTGCGACGTCCATTGAAAGAGGGTGTATATATATATCGATGAATGGTGGGGTCCCTGGCGAGAAATCTTTGAAAGATCTCCGGAATTTAATTAAGTATGACATTTAATAAACTATTGAATGTGTTCTCTGTTCGGTTGAAATAACATTTCAGAATCTTCTTGTCTAAGAGGAAGAGGCGAGCTTTTTCCATTTTCTCCCCTTCAACTCGCTCACGGGACAAGGAATTTTCCATAAAATTTACCCCGCATACAAAAAAAAATGCATTCCAAATATTCTGTCAATATATGGAATTGAAAGAGAGAGGACGTTGTGAATTAAGCGAGTAAATAAAACGTCGAAATATCTTAGGGGTGAAATTGTTGTGAATGGAAAACGATGTCCCTTTATTTTAATATAATTACAGATGCGTTGAATTTGAAGGCGTTTAATTGGTTAAAACTGATTACGCATTGAAAGTTTATTATCCGCATCCGAGTGGATTTTTGCACAAGATTTGTTCTCATCCAAATCCCCCGTTGTTCTTCGATTTAAGTAAATAATTGCATTGTGCGAAGTTTTAATTGTGAGATTTCGCACTCCTCTGTAGAAATACTCATTCCACTTTCAATATTGACCTGAAACCAAATTACTTGCTTATTCTTACATCAATCTGACGATTTAAATAAATAATTAATTATATCAGTATTTTCAGTATATTTCATATTCATTTTTCTAGTCTATTTAAAATATTAGAAATGTGCGGCTTTGATCAGTGCGGATTCACTATAGTACGGTTTGAAAAGAACAAAATAATTTATAACAAATATGTTTTATACAAAAATGATCGATTTAATCATAATTATTTTTTTATGCTATTTATATTTCTGCCATTTAACTTGATTTGTCCGGTTTCAGTTCCAATTATTTCGTGTATATAGAAAAAATATATAATGTAAAAAATTTCAGCGTTTTGATAATTCGAAGAATAAAACATTTAATTCTCTGATTGAATAGAGAATAAATCAATATATTTATTGTATTTGTATCTTAATAATTACATTTGGAAAACTATATGTAGAATTTCTACAAAATAACTCATAGAGTATTGAGATACATTCAATTTCTGTATCAGAGGATAAATTGTTTACATTGTATAAACCAGAACTAGATAATGGTATTATTTACATGGTTTTACTGTAACATTTTTGACGAGTAATAAAAATTGCAATTTATACACTTTCATTTGTAAAGTGACTTGGTACAAATCCATAAAAAATAATAGGAATCCGTATAGTTTGTCAGTGGAATGGTTTGGCAAAGAGTAAGAAAGAAGACGAAAGAAGCATCAAAGCAGTATAAATGTTTAGGCGGCACTGAAATTCGAGCTGGAAATATATAAAATATAATTTTTATCGTTCGTATAAGTGCATTTGGCAACAAGTATAGGAAAGTTTCGAGATTGGCGGCGACGGTGGAGGCGGCAACGTCAGAGGCGGCTTCCCGTTTATAATTGCAATATCGCGGAGGAGGGTTTCCCGCTGCCAACAAGAAATCGACAATAAACCGCGCCGCGTAATTACATTCTGCACCCTTATAAAAGCTTTGATGGCTAATGAAACAAAACTTTCATATAACGCGCGATCGCGTCCGATCCGGACGAAGGAGTTTAATGACTTTCCATAAACTATTACACACATACACCCTCAAATAATAATAAATGAATTGCAGTTTCTTTCTTATTTGTATGACAACCAAATGGCATTCACAAATACTGACAAAAAAGTAAGATGAGATCTTTACTGCATTTGCAGGTAAATCTTCTTACAATATTCCATAACTAAATTTCACACTAAAGAGCCTTAAATACCATTATGTAATACATACATATCATATAAAATACATAAAGTTACCATCTTCTAAAGTATACAGGCTTAATTTATTTAAATTACAAAAAGAAGGCATAATACTTTAGATCTATTGATTACTGACAAAATATTATATAAATTGTATACTCATGTATTTTTTTACACTAATTGACATTGTATACAAATTCTAAAAAGAATATATTTTTTTCAAGTAAATTCATTAGCTTCATGATTTAATCGCAAACAATTATTAAATATGAAATATAATGAACTTTTTATCAAATTAAGTATGCGTCTTT